TCTCTCTCTCTCTCTCTCTCTCTCTCTCGCTCTCTCTCTCTCTCTCTGTGTCTCTCTCTCTGACTGCCTCTCGCTTTCAACCTCATTTTCTTTTTCACCAGCAATCCCTGCAGGTGGCGCCGGCGGAGATCGCGCGGGAGTACTACACGGGCGACGAGATGGCGGCCTTCAGGAAGCCGTCGCGTAAGCCGAAGATGCGACGACGAGTGAGAAAGCCCAGCGCCCTCACGGCCGACGACCTTGAAGCCCTCGCGCTGACACCAGGGGGCGCCACCGACCTTGGCTCGAGGTTAGGCACCCGCGCAGTCAGTCTGACATGCCTTATATTAGTGGATGGTCGCCTCTTGATCTAGTCTTAAGGATACTCTCAATGTTTTAGGCAAAATTTTACCGATTTTTTATTTTCAACTTTATTGGATGGCTAACACTATGTGCCACCTCAGTATATGCTCATTTCTCGATATAACGGTACATGTGAACTGTCAGAGCGTTTTGATTGCCCGCGTACACGTGTAGTGAGCAGCAGCTGACGTCACTGATGACGTCAGAGACATGATACAACCAGAATGTTCACGATATTTACTATGCTAGTATCATTCAGCATCAACCCTCCTACAGCTGTCATCTGCCAGTGATAGTCGAAATTGCCGCGCAACAGAAAATAGCCCCGTTTCCCTTGTTACACACTTTGCATTTAGGCGCGTGTTTGTTGACACATAGCTTAGTAACGGCATGCAGTACACATTGTACGTGCGTTTTGCATAAAAGTGCAGTGGTAACCTCGTAATTTCTCACAGTTTCTCAAGGTGCATGGAACATATTACCTATTTAGTGGAGTCAGTTAGTCATGTCACAGTAAGTACTAACAGTAGATGTTTCACATACGTTCACCCATTTTGCACACAGGCGGTCGATCATTGTGAAAAATCGAAAAACGCTGATTTCTCCATTTCTATTTCTGAAATAGTAGCCGATGTATAAATGGATATTTCTCTGTGATTACAACCCGGATTAATTTAATTTTACACTCGTTTTAATGGTAACATATTGCTGTAAAAAAGTGCGTCATGGATTGTTATTAAGTGTTGTATTTTATTAGTTATGCCTCTTTATTCGCTAAAATTTGCAATTCTAACACACAACTTGATTTTTAAGCAGTTTTTTGCATTTTTCTCAGTAAGTATTAAACTTAAAGAAAAATCATGTTGCGCTATTTTAGTACATATTGTGCTTAACCTGTGGCGAAAGTTTTGCTTCCTCAATCTTTTTGGTAATTGAGAAATATCCAAAATACCATTTTTACATAAAAATTCAAAATTTGTGTGGTAACATAATTAGATGCTGGAAATTTCATGAAACTTTTTGGCTTGAGCATAGAGATATATCTCCTCTATAAATAAAACGTGTGATTGATTTGATTCATTCATCAATAAACGTTTAATCTTCATTAGAGCAATACCCCCCCCTCTCCTGACCGGTGGCGGCCCATTCAGCCGCGCCGTTGCCGCGTCTGCCCCTCCCGCCCGAGTGGCGCCAAAGTCGCGACGAGGAGGTCGATTGGGAAGACGCCGTCTAGCCAAGGGTCAGCCTAGCTCGCTCACTAGTGGCGCCCTCGACCAACGTGGCGGGCAGAGACGGCGAGTTGCCCGACTCCGCCACTTCCCGACGACGGTGCAAAAGGCGTGAGTCGACACTCAGGTGGGGCGGCTCGCGTGTGGTGAGGTAGGCGGCAGCGTCGAGGGTGGGGGGGGGCGGTATTGGGATGCGGAGCCTAGTGAGGAAAGACTGCCCGAATGCCCGACGATTTTTTTTAAAAAAGCAAGTTGTTTTGAGTTGTTTTCTATTGAAAATTAAGGTGTGTGAAGACTCGCTTCTCGGTTCTCACTCTGTCCTCTTCTCTTCTCTCTCTCTCTCATCTCTCATCGGGTCTCTCTCCCCCTCTCGCCGCTCTCTCTGGCTCGTCATCCCCCGGCTCTCTCGGCTCGTCCTCTTCTCTCCTCTCACGACCGAGCTCCCGGCACGACGCGGTCTTCAATCTCTGTCTCTCGTCTTCCGCTCTCCCCCCAATCCTCCCTCCTCCCTGCGGCCGCTCTCTGCTCTCGTCTCTCGCTCAAACAGATCCCGCTCTCGCTCCCGGTCCTCTCGGTGACTCCTCGGGCCGCGGTGTCCTCTCTCTTCTCTGTGTCCTCTCTCTGCACTGTCTCTCGCTCCAACCTATCTTTAGTCTTTTTCACAACCAAGCAATGTCCTGCCAGTGGCGCCCGCCTCGGCGGAGATCGCCGCGGGACGTAGCTACACGGCGACGAGATGGCGCGCGCTTCAGGAAGCCGTCGCGTAAGCGCAGAAGATGCGAAGCGAGCGACGTGAGAAAGCCCCAGCGCCCTCACGGCCGACGACCGCCTGAGCCCTGGCGGGCGGCTGACCCAGGTGGGCGCCATCTGACCTGTAGGCGTCGGGTTAGGCCAACCCGCTGCGGCGTCAGTCTGACACTATCTTCTATGATATAGGTGGATCGGTCGCCTCTCTGATCTAGTCTTTACGCTGATCACTGCTGCAACAAATGTTTTCTAAGGCAAAATTTTACCGGATTTGTTTATATTTCAACTTATATTGGACTGGCTTCAAAGCTATGTTTGCCCACCGTCAGCTAGTAATGCCATTTCTCGCATATAAACGGTACAATGGTGAACAATGTGCAGACGGAGCGCCTTTGATTGCCCCGCGTACACGGTGTAGTGAGCCGGCAGCAGGCTGACGTCGACTGAACTGACGTCAGATGACATGAATACAACCAGAATGTTTCACACGATATTTACTGTATGGCTACGTAGTCATTCAGCAATTCAACCCTCCTAACAGCTGTCACTGCGCCCAGATGACTAGCTCAGCAAAAATCTGCCGGGCCGCAAGAAGACGACCGCACAACGAGAAAATAGCCCGCGTCTCTCCTTGATTACCAACTGCGGAGGGACCTGGCATTTCAGAGCGCGTGTTTGTTGAAACAGGAGTAGCTTAGTAAAGGCACTGCAGTGCAACCATGCGCGAGTGAACGCGCGTTTGCATAAAAGTGCGATGGTAACCTCTTCGTAATTTCCATCAGCTTTCCAAGGTGCACTCGGAACGCTATTACCTAGCGTTTAGTGGAGTCAGGTGTAGTCATGTCACAGTTAAAGATACTTAAATCAGTAGTAATGGTCTTCATCATACGTTCACGACCCAGGTAACTAGAGTAGCTCATTTCGCACACAGGCCGGTGCCGAGTCATTCGTGAAAAATGCGCAAGAACGCTGAATTTCTCCAATTGTCCTATTCTCTGAAAATAGTAAGAGCGCCGATGTATAAATGGATATTTCTGGCTGTGATTACAACACAGCGGATGTAATTTAATTCTTAACACTCTGTTTTAGATGGGTTAAGCATCATTGCGGTAAAAAACGACGCCGCGTCATGATTTTGTTTATTAGTGTTGATATTTTATTTAGTTATGCCTCCTTTATTCGCGCTAAAATTTGCAAATTCTAACACAACGGGCGGTCAACTTTGAATCTTTTAAAGCGCAGTTTTTTTCGCACTTTTTCTCTCAGTACAGTATTAACTTTAAAGCAATGAAATCATGTTGCAGGGCTATTTTAGTACACTATTTGGTGCTTTAACTGTGGCGGAAAAGTTTTGCTTCCTCAATCCTTATTTGGAAGTGAGAGAATTATCCAGAAATACCATTTTACATAAAATTGCAAAATTATGTGGGTGTGTAACATCAATTTCAGATGCTGGAAGACTTGTCATGAGAAGACTTTTTGGGTCTTGAGCATAGAGATATATGCTGGGTGATTGATTCCGATTACATTCATACAATAAACCGTTTTTAAACTTTCAATTAGAGCAATGATCGGCCGTAGGCAAGGTGGAGAGTATCCTTAATTAGTTATTATTTATTAATTATTAAAATTTAAATAGTATGAATTAATAATTGATTAATTCTTGATTCTTAACCTCCCCGCCCGTTAGATTTCTCTTAATTCGTTAGTGATCTTGGAGAGTCTAGATTCAGCTTTAGATGAGTCCTGTTAAGGGTTTCTGTCCGCAAGAAAAAATTTTGCCACTCGGCTATAGAATGTTCTTTGAATAGTGCTTCAGACGTCACATGAGGGCAGTGTGCTACTCATTATTTAATTTCGTAATTCATGTCTATGATTTTATATTAATTCATATATTTCTGTAGTAGTGGTCTAGTTTAAGCTATGTGCTCTCAACCTTGTAGCTGAAAATACCCATTCTTATAAAAACCGCAGTGTTCACGACCTCGAGTGACCCGCTTGACGTCTTGAACCCCTTGCAAACTTGCGTTTAAGCTAAGAATAAGCTAGCATTAATCTAATGTACAGGATCTTTATAATAATGTTTTTTTGTTATAATTTCTTTATTTCCAGGCATGTTAGCAAACTGTTACAGCCTTTTCCAGCGGCATGTTTCAATATTACATACTTGTACATATATACTTGTTAACGTTATATATCAATTTGGATT